GGGGGGGTTTTGGGGGGGATTTGGGGGAATTTGGGGGATTTGGGGGGATTTTGGGGGGATTTGGGGGGATTTGGAGGGGGTTTGGGGGTTTGGGAGGAGATTTTGGGGGTTTAGAGGAGATTTGGAGCAGATTTCAGGGATTTGGGATCAGATTTGGGGATTTTGAGCAGATCCGGAATCAGATCTGGGCTCAGATTTTGGATTTAGGATCAGATCTGGGCTCAGACTTGAGATCAGATTTTGGGATTTAGGATCAGATTTAGGATCAGATTTTGGGATTTAGGATCAGGTTTGGGCTCAGCTTTTGGGGTTTAGGTTCAAATGTGGGCTCAGATTTGAGATCAGATTTTGGGATTTAGGATCAGATTTGAGCTCAGATTTGGGCTCAGATTTAGGATCAGATTTTGGGATTTTAGGGTCAGATTTAGGCTCAGATTTTGGAATTTAGGTTCAGATTTGGGATTTGGGCTCAGCTCTGGCATTTAGGCTCAGATTTTGGGATTCAGGCTCAGCTCTGGGATTTAGATTTGGGATTTGGGCTCAGATTTGGGATTTAGGATCAGATTTAGGCTCAGATTTAGGTTCAGATTTGGGCTCTAGACTCAGCTCTGGGATTTGGGCTCAGATTTGGGCTCAGGTTTGGGCTCAGATTTGGGCTCAGATTTGGGCTCAGGTTTGGGCTCAGATTTGGGCTCAGGTTTGGGCCCAGGTTTGGGCTCAGATTTGGGCTCAGATTTGGGCCCAGGTTTGGGCCGAGCTTTGGGCCCAGGCCGGCTCTGACCCTTGAGCGCCACGCCGTTGCGCCGGATGGCCGTGATGGCGTTCTGCACGTCGTCCTCGGGCGCCTCCGCGTTCACGCGAACCTCCTCGAAATCCACGGGGACACACGCGTGCCTGACACGGACACGGGGAGGGGGGATGGGGGAATAATGGGGGAAAATGGGGGAAAATGGGGGGAAAAATGGGGAAAAAGAGAAAGAGAAAAAGAAAAAGAAAAAGGAAAAGAAAGGGATTTAGATTTGGGATTTGGGCTCAGATTTGGGATTTAGGCTCAGATTTAGGTTCAGATTTGGGCTCTAGACTCAGCTCTGGGATTTGGGCTCAGATTTTGGGATTTGGGCTCAGATTTTGGGATTTGGGCTGAGCTCTGGGATTCAGGCTGAGCTCTGGGCTCTAGGCTCAGCTCTGGGATTTGGGCTCAGATTTTGGGATTCAGGCTCAGCTCTAGGTCCAGCTCTGGGATTCAGGCTCAGATTTGAGATTCAGGCTCAGATTTGGGCTCTAGGCTCAGATTTTGGGATTCAGGCTCAGATTTTGGGATTGGGGCTCAGATTTGGGCTCCAGGCTCAGATTTGGGCTCCGGGCTCAGATTTGGGCTCAGGTTTTGGGCTCCACGCCCAGATTTGGGCTCCAGGCCCAGATTTGGGCTCAGATTTGGGCTCAGGTTTGGGCCCAGGTTTGGGCTCAGATTTGGGCTCAGATTTGGGCCCAGGTTTGGGCCGAGCTTTGGGCCCAGGCCGGCTCTGACCCTTGAGCGCCACGCCGTTGCGCCGGATGGCCGTGATGGCGTTCTGCACGTCGTCCTCGGGCGCCTCCGCGTTCACGCGAACCTCCTCGAAATCCACGGGGACACACGCGTGCCTGACACGGACACGGGGAGGGGGGATGGGGGAATAATGGGGGAAAATGGGGGAAAATGGGGGGAAAAATGGGGAAATAATGGGGAAATGGGGAAATAATGGGGAAATGGGGAATGGGGGAAATTGGGGGAAATGGGGGAAATAATGGGGAAATGGGGAAATGGATGGGGGAAAATGGGGGAAATAATGGGGAAATTGGGAAATGGGGAAAATGGGAAAATGGGGAAATGGGGAAAAATGGGGGAAAATGGGGGAAATAATGGGGAAATTGGGAAATGGGGAAAATGGGAAAATGGGGAAATGGGGAAAAATGGGGGAAAATGGGGGAAATAATGGGGAAATTGGGAAATGGGGAAAATGGGAAAATGGGGAAATGGGGAAAAATGGGGGAAAATGGGGGAAATAATGGGGAAATTGGGAAATGGGGAAAATGGGAAAATGGGGAAATGGGGAAAAATGGGGGAAAATGGGGGAAATAATGGGGAAATTGGGAAATGGGGAAAATGGGAAAATGGGGAAATGGGGAAAAATGGGGGAAAATGGGGGAAATAATGGGGAAATTGGGAAATGGGGAAAATGGGAAAATGGGGAAATGGGGAAAAATGGGGGAAAATGGGGGAAATAATGGGGAAATTGGGAAATGGGGAAAATGGGAAAATGGGGAAATGGGGAAAAATGGGGGAAAATGGGGGAAATAATGGGGAAATTGGGAAATGGGGAAAATGGGAAAATGGGGAAATGGGAAAAATGGGGAAATGGGGGAGAAATGGGAAAAATGGGGAAAAATGGGGGAGAAATGGGAAAAATGGGGAAAATGCAAAAATGGGGAAAATGGGGAAATGGGGAAAATGGGGGAATTGGGAAAAAAATGGGGAATTGGGGAAATGGGGAAAATAATGGGGAAAAAAATGGGAAAAAAAAGGGAAAAATGTCACTAAAATGGCACCAAGTGGCGCCAGAATGTCACCCCAATGTCACCCAAATATCCCCCAAAAGTCATCTCAATGGCACCCCAGTGGCACCACAAATGGCCCCAAATATTCCCCAAAATCACTCCAAATGTCACTACAATGTGTCCCCAAAATCGGCCCCAAATGTCCCCAAATGTCACCAAAAATGGCCCCAAAAGTGGCCCCAAAAATTCCCCAAAATCACCCCAAATGTCACCACAATGTGTCCCCAAAATCGGCCCCAAATGTCCCCAAATGTCACCAAAAATGGCCCCAAAAGTGGCCCCAAAAATTCCCCAAAATCACCCCAAATGTCACCACAATGTGTCCCCAAAATCGGCCCCAAATGTCCCCAAATGTCACCAAAATCCCCCCAAATGTCCCCCAAATGTCCCCCCAAATGTCCCCAAATATTCCCCAAAATCAGCCCAACATCCCCCCCAAGTGTCCCCAGAAATGGCCCCAAAATCCCCCAAATGTCCCCCCAGCATCGCCCCAAATGTCCCCAAACGTCCCCACGTGTCCGATGTTACTGCTCCATTTCCATATTTTAATAACTAATTACATTTTCTGGGCCTCATTTGCATATTTTGGGATCAATTCATCCATTTCAGGCTCAATTCCCCAATTTCTGGGCTCCATTTCCCCTTTCCTGGGTTCATTCCCAAACCCACTAATCAACTCATTACCCTATTTTACGCACTTAATTACACTTTCAACACTTAATTACATTTCTTCCCTGCCTCATTTGCATATTTCGGGACAAACCCCTCCATTTTCCCCTCCATTCCCCCTTCCCGAGGCTCCATTTCCCCTTTTTTGGGGCTCTCATTTCCAACCCCACCCCCCCATCCCCCCG